CGAAAATTTTAAAAAAATGCGAAACTTGATATTATTCGCCATCCAGTGGTCGTACACGAACGAATTTATATTCATTGGATTCGTCTCACTGAGACGCGTCGAATGGTGCTAAGATCATGTCTCTAGCACCAATAGATAGCTTGCTAATTCCAATTATTGATAAATCATTTAGCGTAGGTTAACATGTTATCTATCGATGCTAGAGACATGATCTTACCACCATTCGACGCGTCTCGTCGTGAGGAATCCAATGATATATTGCTCGACTTTGTATGATCACTAGATGGGCGGCTATTCGATTTTTCGCATTTTTATAAAAAATCGGATTAAACTGAACCGAGACGCCAGTTTTTCGGTTCTAATACCCGAACCGAACCGAACCGAATTTTAAGCCGGTTTCGGATCAGTTCCCCGGTTTATCCCGAACCATTCGGAGCTTTATACACTTCAATAAAAATAAATATGGTGATTTTTTTCTTTAAAATCGTAAATGTGTGATTTAAATTTTAATATTTGTCAAATAAAATTTCATTAAATAAATAATTATCATTATTGATGTTTATCAAAAGTTAATATGCTGACTGCCAGTTCTTATAACGGGTACCCGCCATTTCTTATAACAGGTACCCACCATTTCTTATAGTGGGTACCCACCCTTTATTATAGCAGGTACCCGCCATTTCTTATAACAGGTACCCATTTCTTATAATGGGTACCCATCATAATATATAACGTATATAACGCTATGAAATATAGCATATTAAACGCTATTTTTTGCAACAGGTTACCCTGAAACAGACAGAACAGGGGTAACCCACCGTGAAATGTAACGTATATGCACTACAAAACATAGCGTATACACGCTATGTTTTGCTACGCACTTTTGACCATGGCGGCTTTCCATACACTAACTCACCATAAACGTATCTATATAGTGGCATTTTTGCATTACTTGCATTATGCCACCACCCGCAGCCATCTTTAAAAATCAAAAATTACTCAAACTTTTTATATGTCCACCTTCTTACTTCATAACAAAATTTGAAATGAGCACTATTGTACTGGTGCTTGATACTCTCAAAAGAAATGTGAAAGTGAAAAAAACAAATATTAGTTTTTTAGCTAATAATGATCAACAAGAAAGTTGTATTTTTATAATTTAGTGATACCATCGATGTAATGATGTAACGTCATCATAACGTCATAACGCCTAATTAAATATATTTGGAACTAAAACCTGAAAATTGGTATCTGCATTTTGCATAGATAATATTACACAAACACTATATATGCTCGAATAAAGGAGTTTAATTATTTTTACCCTATTTTTTAGGAAGAATTCCAATAAAATTATTTAGTAATGGCTCAAAGTAACGAAGGTAAAAGCATATAATATGAATATAGATATTTAATACAAGTCGAAATTATTCTAAAATTTTTTCAAACCAATTTGCAACATAATGAAACTAGTTTCAAAAATTGAGAAAGATAAAGGTAAGAAAATTACTTAATAGCTTGCTAATTATAAACGTATAACTATTTCTAAAAATTATTTTTACTATATTAACTATATTAGCTTGTAAGTAATAGATTATCTTATAATCGGAATGATAAATGATAATTAAATTACTTCTATTATTTTATATAACTAAATAACTTATTTTATTATTTAATATTATTATAGTTGGTAAGTTAATAGCAATTTTTTTATTGTATTTTACATGATATTTTAAATAACTAAATTTTCTATTAATATAATTGTTTAATAATTATGGTACTAATATTATAGAAAGTAAGTAATTAATTTTATATTAATTTAAAAGTATTATATATAATTTAAACTAATAATAATATTTATTTAAATAATTAGATTGTAAGTTACTGTATATATAATATATTTAATTTTTATATACAATTATCTAATTGATTATAATTACTTTACTTTATAATTATTATTAATTAATAATGTTACAGGGTGTAAGTTATTTATTTAGTCTATTATATTTATATAATATTTACATATAATTTAAACTAACTAAATTCTTTATTTAAAAAATTATTTTCTAATTTCTTTTAGTTGGTAAGTTATAAGTTATTATATACTATTTAAAATTTAAATTTATTAATTATTTATTATATTAAAATCTTACAATTTTATTCAGAGTAAGTATAATTAATATTATTTAATATTTAAATTTTTTTAATTGTAAATTTTATTTTAAATTTTAAATTTTAATATAATTTCATTTTTATATTTAAAGATTTGGTACTAGTGGAAGTAAAATTGTGGATCAATTTATTTCCAAAAATGAATTAAAATGGATTCCTTATAATACCTTTAAAAATATTGAATATCTTGATAAAGGAGGATTTGGTACTATATATGAAGCTGAATTTTATAGTATTAAAGTAATCCTTAAATCTTTTAATCATCTTAATAATTTAGATGAATGTTTAAATGAATTTTTAAATGAAGTATGATTAAATATTATTTTTTTTTAATACTATGATTTAGTTATACTAATTTACTAATAAATATTATTTATTATAGTGGAAAATTATTGATTCATATGAAATTATTAGAATATATGGATTTACAAAAGATCCAGATACTTTGAATTATGTATTAATAATGGAATATACAAATAAGAATAGTTTAAACAGATGTTTAACAGAAATAACAAAAAATTGGGAACAAAAATTATTTTGTTTATATCAAATTATTAAGGGGCTTAATAATATTCATGAAAAAGATCTTATTCATTATAACTTTCATAATGGTAATATTTTATGTAACAAATATGAAGGAAACATATATGGAATTTTTATTAGTGATTATTTAGGATTATATCAACTTGCAAAATCTTTTTTAAAAGAAAATGATATCTTTGGAGTTTTACCATTTATAGCACCTGAAATTTTAAAAGGTCAACCTTATACTCAAGCTAGTGATATATATAGTTTTTCTATAATTATGTGGGAATTTACATCTAAAATTCTACCATTTAATGATAAAGCACATGATCTTCAGCTTGCTTTAAGTATTTGTAAAGGTGAACGTCCTGAAATTATTGAAAATACTCCACAATGTTATATAGATTTAATGAAAAAATGCTGGGATGAAGATCCATTAAAAAGGCCATCTTCTAAAGAAATTTTAAATATTATTGAAAGTTGGATTTTTCGTCCTGAGAATAAGAAAATTGAAGATAGATGTGTATAAGAGACAGAGCATTAATAGATCGTAGGTTAATTCATGCTAAATGATTTATAAAAAATTGGCATTAGCAAGCTATCTATCAATGCTAGAAACGTGATCTTACTACCATTCAACTCATCTCATTGAGACGAATCCAATGAGTTCTAATTCATATTTGTATAACCATTAGACGATGAATAAATTCATGTATTGGAATTTTTAATTTTTAATTTTAAAAAAATGCAAAACTTGACATTATTCGCCATCCAGTGGCTGTACACAGACAAATTTATATTTATTGGATTCGTCTTGATGAGACGTGTTGAATGATGCTAAGATCATGTCTCTAGCACTGATAGATAGCTTGCTAATTCCAATTATTTATAAACTATTTAGCATGGGTTAACATGTGCGTGATCTATCGATACTAGAGATATGATCTTACCACCATTCAACGCGTCTCATTGAGACGAATCCAATGATATATGGCTTAACTTTGTACGATCATTAGATGGACGGCTATTCGATTTTTTGCATTTTTATAAAAAATCAAATTAAACTGAACTGAACTGCCAGTTTTTCGGTTCTAATACCTGAACCAAACTGAACCGAATTTTAAGCCAGTTTCAGATCAGTTCTCTGGTTTAACCCAAATCGTTCAGAGCTTTAATATGGAAGATAATAAATATTACTTGATAAATTTAAATAACAAAATAATGAAAAATTAGCTAATAAAATTAGAAAATTATGAT